TTTCATTGAAAATCCTATTTATAATATCAAACAATATATTGTAATAATTTGTCTAACGTCAATACTTTCTATTCAAAACATTAATTATAATAAATTTTAATAAGTTGTATGATTATGATATTGTAATACTGTATATACCGGTAAATAATTTTGTTTAGCATTGGAATGTAAATCGAAATAAAATTAAAGCAATTATTTCAAAAATATTGGAAACTTTATTGAAAAAATTTATTTACAATTCATGTATTTATTTAACAACAAATAAATTCTCACTTTTTTGCTAACAATTTATCATTTGATTCCGACGCTAATGTTTGAATTGATTTTTGTAGTGGTATTGTATAATACTTCATTGAAAATCCTATTTATAATATCAAACAATATATTTATAAATTATAAATACAAGTAAAAAGTTGATCTCAATTTCAATTGAAAGCTCGATTCCAATGCCATAAACCCATGAATGATATAATGCTTATTAATGACAAACAATTGCTTTTATCTGCGAAATAGAGATTAAAATTAATTAAATTAAATACTTTTCAACATAAGAGACAATTATAAATCCAATAAATATGAGTACAATATAAACCAAAATGTATTCACAACTAAAAGAAATTTAGTTTTAATTTCTACCAAGTTTATAAATCATTTAAACAGAATTTATTGGACTTTACATTGAATTCATACAAGAGATTAGAGATATTTACTCATTGCATGACTTTTGGGAAATGTGGAGATCTTGTGAATCCCATTATTAGACTCTAGAAAAATACGGAATTAAATGAAATCATAATTAAATCCATAGTTTCGTAGCGCAAGTGATGGGAAGGCCTACCGTCGTGGGCGCGGAACTGATAGAAAGCCTCAAACCCTGTGCCGTCAAACTTGTCGTTAGACTTGAAGGCTATGCGAAAGAAGTCGTTGTCAGAGATGACATTCTTCGGCACCTTTACGCCGCAGTTTCGCGACATTTTCCGGTCGACTGTCCGATAATTACTGAACTCCACGAAATCGCTCGCACTGTTTGAATCACAACTGGACAGGCATTCAATGAATACAAAAAACCTTCAGTTAAACAACAGATATATCTGATGACAATCAATGGTAAGACATACGGAGGCACGCCTTCCACGTCGAAGTAGGCGAACGTGATGTGGACCCTCTGGTTAGGCTGTCCATAGAAATGGTAGTGGCATTCCGTGTCCCGTGGATACAGCCCTTATCACCGGTAAAACACACAATACATACAAACATTACACGCAATTCATTGGCGAGTAATTAATTAAAATTGAATGCATTTTTCGGTGCCAATAAATACCCGGATAATTAGGCGAAGTGAATGAGCCGTTGGGGTGTATTGTGCTGTTGAAGATAAAGCCGCAAACTATACCATAAAAATGAAGCATTTATTACTCCGGTGTGTCATTAATACTGGCATTTAATGAGTGATTTAATTACCGGCTTCTCTATCGTCTTGAGTGCCGCCACTGATACCAAAGTCTGTCATAAAAATCACAAATTCATTGTATACTCAAATCCATTGTTTGCTATACTTTTACGACTGATTACAACGACACTTACTGTTAATGAATCGATACATTGCGCTGGAAATCAAGAATAAGTTTTTAAGAGTTAGTGCACAGAATCGGATGATTATAATTAGATTGAATGCAATTCAATACCGGAATCCTTTGCCCGTACGTGACGTCTGAGTGGTGCGGAACTCCACTGACATGGAGGGGCCGTTCGACATGAGCTGAGACGGGAGTTTGTGTCCGCAGAAGTTGTCTATCCTTTCCTTATGTCCGCTGATCGTTATGAAGACCATAACGGCGTCCACGCCTTCGCAGCTATATATCAGTCATAATAACGATAATTATTTGTTAAATATATTTAAGAATTCATTTTAACACAAGAATTTCAATGAATTTTAGTTTTTTAATTATATTCATATAATAAAAGTAAGTCATATAAACACAACAAGTTATTTGAAATACAAAAAACATGCAATTAATATTAATAATCATTATAACGAATGAAATGAATATCTGTTTAATTGAATGGAAAGCCTTTCAATGCAGTGATTATTTGTCTTTAATTCTGCATTCGATGACAAATGGTTTAATGACAACGTCTTTGTCGACTGACTGTCCGCCGACGAAAGCGTTGGTCAGTCTTATCACCGAAACTGATGTCACCTCTGGGGCCGACATCTGTGTCGATAGGCGCCCGACGTTTGAGTGGTCCGTATTTGGGGGCACATCTGTGGCCGAAAAGCGCAGTTAGTGGTTAACTCGGGGGCGTGTACTCAATGCCACCCCTTCCGCGAGCCATCAATTTCAGTACCGACCCGTTCTCGATGTTGTAATGACTGACAGTCATGCTATCATTGAGTACTCGGCCATCGAATACGAGTTTTTGCCGATCCTGAGGAATGCCTTTCTTATATTGTATGAAATCCTTGATTTCACCGATTGTCTCATCCGGTCGCACCTCCCACTCGATGCTCTCATCCGATGCCTTCACCGAAATAGACATCAACTTCTGGTTGCCATCCATTGGCTTCTCGGCCGCGAAGGCGAACCTAATCCGAGAGCACACCTTCTCGGCAGTCATGCGACTCGTGTGCTCTCCGAGGCCCGAAATGTACAGCCCTTCCCTCACGAGGTTCACCACGTATTCAGCCATCGAGTTGTTGGGACTCAAGAACCGCAAGTGTTTGCCGTTTGGGTTGACTGCCTTCAGCGCTCAAATGCCGCGCTTCGCGACGAACTCGTGTCGGGCGCCGGCGTATGTCATGTCGAACACCACTCTTCGGCCACCACTCGAGTTGTTGTCGACCACTATCTCGAAGTTGACGTCATTGTCTTCAAACAGCCACAAACACGTTGGCCTTCCCGTCGGGACTGTGTCTGAGCTCCAGTACAGTGTCCACACCTTTGGCGTCGACTTGTCGCACATCCAGACGCACATCAATGGTCTTCGAGTTATTCATCAGACGAATGGTGTTGTCTTTGATCACTGGACTCAGCTGTCAAACAAATTGCTATCAATTGTGTGTTCAATGAAATAAAGTTAAAAAGTTTTTCCTAACCTCTTGTCGACGATTGGATGCCATTGCGATCACTGCTTAACTGCAACTCAATTGGATTTACCGCTAATTACTGTCAGTTCTAATGCTGTGATCACTGACTGAAAGCCTATAACTTATACAACGTGTGAATGAAACTTATACCAGTGATGCAGCCTATGTTAATAGACAGTTATGTGAATAGCCTAGGTAGCCTATTACCTAGGTAGCCTAGGTATAGGCAGTCTTACGATCACTGAATGTAACACTCATTTTTAGCCACAAGTTCACACAAATGTGCGAAACGTTTGCCTCAATAATGAATTACTGAAGCATTGAATTCAAAAGTTTTAAATATCTCCAAATATAATACAATTCAATATTTAACACAAATAAATAGCTGCCAATAGTGGGCAACAAACACATGCACGCATTCATAGGCTTATTATGATTCAAAACGCATAATTGAATTTTAATTTTAAATTATTGTCTCAAAAATGGATTTAAATCAAAGTGTACTGAAAAGAGATGTCAAATATTTCGCAGAACTGACAGAATTGCAAAAACCAGACATTTATACCATAGTCTATATGCCCTCGAAATCCATGTTTGCCTTAAGACAGACTCCACTGAAAGAATGGCCAGAATTAGAGGTTTTAGAAAATGAGATCCATTTGACGAATCGACTCAAACACCGCAATCTCATGCCAATCACCTCCACGTTTATCCACAACAGCCACTTATGGACAGTCATGCCGTACGCAGAGTTCCAGTCGTTGGCAGATCTGAGCAAACCTTTCGGTCTCTCCGAGCAGTGCATCGCTATAGCCATGAAAGACGTGTTAAGTGGCGTCCAATACCTCCACAACCAGTGCGTTATCCATCACTCCATCGCCGCCTCTCATATACTGGTCTTCGGGCGGCCGGACACAGCCTTCCGGTGCGTTCTGACGGGTCTCAAGTACTCCATCAGTGCCATCAAAAACGGCGAAGTATTGATACCCTGCTATGAATACCCGGCTCAGGCCGAGGCCAACCTCAACTGGATGTCACCTCTGGTGTTGGAGCAGAATCTCATGGGTTATGACAATAAGGCCGACATCTATAGCGTCGGAATCACGTGCTGCGAGTTGGCCAACGGGTCGACACCTTTCGCCGGATTAGAGCCCTCGGAGATAATGCTCAACAAACTGAATGGTGAGATCCCGGAGCCGCTGGACTCGCACTCCAGAGATCTGCAACAATTGCGCCAACATTTGGGCGAAGAAGTGGATAAGTTTTTCGATGCGAAACAGAATATGAGATCCAAATACGAGTCATATTTGCGGAAGAAGTACAGCGACGAGTTCAAGAAGTTTGTGGTCGAGTGCTGTCTGCACCCGGAGCCCAACAAACGGCTAAACGCGTCGCAACTACTGTCCCATCGTTTTATCCGGAAGTACGAGAATCTGAACAAAACTCAAGTGTTTGTCCAGTCGTTCAGCAAAAATAAATTGTCGGACAGAATTCAGAATTTACTCAAAAAGTCAAATAAATCCCAATAAATATCGGACAAAAAAAATTGTGTCCGATATTAATATTATATTTTTACATTTTATACACTATTTTAAGTTAAATTCTTTGAAATTCTTGACTTAAAATGAATTACTTTTTTTGATAAATAAATATTCAATTTATGACTTACTCTCTGATGGGTCCGAATTCATTGTGTAGATAGAGATCAAAGTCTGTGAATAGTATTTGTATCCTTTCCTTGCCGTGACCCGTGAAATGGTAGGTACAGTGCAGACTACTGGTGTAAGTATCCGGGTAATTGGGCGATGTGAACGTCCCATTTTTGTGCACTGAGCTGTCTATATACTGATCACAATGGTTTGCTGAAAATAATAAGACA